TTTATGAAGTATTTTCTGCAATACTAATTTAAAAAATGTACTTCTATGGTGCGTGAAAAAGATTAATTGATAGACTCGAAAATAAAATAATTTTTAGTAGATAGTTTGAACTTCTAATTTATAATTAGAAAAATAACCTGAGTTTATTACAAAAATTGTAACTACATGCAAACTGAAGATAACTCGTATCCATCATATAGGGATTGAACTTGATACAAATTGTATAATACTTGATAGTAGGGTAAGAAGTTCTACTTTATTTTTATATTGTTAAGACGTCAGAACCAACAATGAACAGCTGAAGTCTGGTCATTTTTAAAAATGTTATTGTTATTAGTATTTTATCACGTGATTTCTGCAATACTAATTTAAAAAACGTACTTATATAGTGCATGATAAAGGTTAATTGATAGACTAAATAATTAAATAATTTTTTGTAAATAGTCTGAACTTCTAATTTATAATTGGAAATATATCCAGTGTTTATTATAAGAATTGTAACTACATGCAAATTGAAGATAACTTCTATCCGTAACTAGAGGACTTGAACTTGATACAAATTGTATAAAACTTGATAGTAGGGTAAGAAGTTCTACTTTATTTTCTTATAGTTAAGGCGTCAAGACCAACAATGAACAGCTGATGTCTGGTCATTTTTAAAGATGTTAATGTTTACCTATTTTTATTTGTTTTTTATGAGCTGATTTCTGCAATACCAATTTAAAAAAAGTACTATATTGCGTGAAAAGGATTAATTGATAGATTCATAAATTAAATAATTTTTTGTAAATATTGTGAACTTTTAATTTATAATTGGGAAAAAATCTTGAAATTATCATGAAAATTGTAACTACATGCAAATTGAACATAACTCGTATCCATCACTAGAGGGCTTGAACTTGATGCAAATTGTGTAAAACTTGATAGTAGGGTAAAAAGTTTTGCTTCATTTTTTTAATGTTTACGCGTTAGATCTTACAATAAACAGCTGATGTCTGGTCATTTTTAAAGATGTGAATGTTCATTTATCGTTGTTTGTTTTTTATGAAGTGATTTCTGCAATATTAATTTAAAAAATGTACTTCTATGGTACGTGATATCGGTTAATTGATAGATTCAAAAATTAACTGATTTTTCGTAAATAGCCTGAACCTTTAATTCATAATTAGAAAAATATCTTGAGTTTATCATAAAAATTGTAGTTTTTTTTCCATGGAGAATTTCACAACTGTTATAAAGACTAGTTTGTTATGTTAGTTTTCGTTTTTTGAGTTCTATTTTTATTTTAATATTTTTATAAAAAATAATTAAACCACTCGTTTTCTATTTTTCATTAAACAATTTTTCATTAAACATAAAAAATACTTAAAACTGAAAAAAAACAAAAGAATTGCGTTAATTGTGAAGAAGAAGCTTGAAACTTTATTTTCCATTGTCTTCCTTTTTTGTGAAGTCTGACACCAATGAGTCATTGTGTTTACAGCTGGATGACCTTGAGAAGAGCTGTGTTGGATTTCTCAGTACATTCTCATAGAAGTCTAGGGAGACGAAGGGTTTATAGTAGTATGAATACTAGCTGGCTGTATATTTTTAAATAATTTTAAAAAATAACAATTTCATTGTGATATCCTTTTCCACTTGAATTAATAAAACGTATATATAACAAAATCTATTAATTAAAAAAATTAAACTATTGAAAATCGTTTTTGACATCAGAAGCTAGCTATAAATAACTTTATTGATGTAAAATTTGTGCACTACAACTTTAGAAAGATTAATTAAATTTGATAAAAAAAAATCGCATTAAAACAATTAAGCTTTAATCATGCAGTATTAAAGGTAAATTAAACTAGCGTTAAAATATTTCGTGATTATCCACCAAAATCTGCTTAAAGTATCAATGAAAGAAAAATATCACGATTTTTATAACAAACTGATAAACTCCTAGACGTGGTGCAAGGCATGTATATCTGTCTTTGAATTATATTTAATTATGGTAATCTACAACTAATCTGTTGTTTTGATTTTTTACGGATTAATAGCTTAGGGAATGCCATGGAGAGCTGGATAGTTTAAGTACCTCACCTCTAATTATATTTTCTATTTATTCATCTATTATTTTCATATTTCTTGGTCAAATGGAATTCGATATGAGACACAACAAACCGGAAAACTGTTCTTAGTGTCTATGTTTTGCTCTATCAAGTTGCAATAGCTTTAAAAAATTGTCTTTCATGAACACATGTTTATATTTATACTGTAGGTTTAATAATTGGGTCAACTTGAACTTTCACTACTACACTAAGGTCGATTCAATTTTCAAATTGGGCTCTATTTATATTATCATTTAATCGCATTATTTTATTTCACTTAGCATCTTTTTGAGTTTTCTCTTCTGCTATGACAAAGGTTCCTATTTCACTTTGTTGATATTTACAGGTTGTGTTTTTACATTTAGAATTCTAATAGGAACTCTACTGCGCTTTCAGATATTGACTAATGTACTAATAATAACTACCCCTTCCCTTTCAGAGGGTTACTGTTCAACTACTACTGTTTGATTAGACACGTGTGGATAGATCTTTCTCTCCACAATCATAACTGACTGCCAGGGAATGAGATATTCGATTAACAACACGACATCGTTTCACATGTCATCTTTTTTTATAAGCTATCAGCTAACATTTATCTCAAATTTCTTTGTCTCTCTTATTTATTTCATAATTTGCATGAAAAAAGTCTCACAGTTTTTTCTATCTATATTTTAGTCTTTTCAATATTATCGTTAGGCAGCCCCAGGGCAGCAGTAACTGGTTGCAGGTCCATCTAGTTACTTCGTAAAACTTATAAAAGAAGACAATGGTAGAGGGTAGAAATAATGACACAGGAAGAAAAATGACTGACAACGTGTCCTGCAACATCAGGATTTGTATACTTTTATATTTCATAATCTTCCTTCAATTGGCTGGGCTTACCCTTTCTAACTCCCCAATCGGTCTCTCATCTGTTGTCAGGTAAAAATTGCAAGTGGAAATTGAATGTTCTGGTTGTGAGAAAGGTCTGTCATTGACAATCCTTATATGGCACCATCCCTTAACTCTGGCCAGGATTACCGATAGAAGAGATATCCGCAATCATGTTTTCTTTTGTCATTTCTTATTATTGCATTCTAAAATATATTTTTTCTTTACCTATTTTTTCATCAATGTTTACGTAATTTTATATGAGTAATAGTGTGAAAGTCTGGCATTGCCAATTCGACATAGCTAAACTTGACACGTTGCAGAATCAGTTTTTTTCTCTGCATCACGTTAATCATTCATTGCAAGTTTTTTGTTGTTATAAAATATTTTTAAGTTCAAACTTAATTTCGGTTTACACATTATGCACCCTGTCTTTTTCTAACCTACTATCTAACTAAAAATCATATTTAAGCATATTAAATGTATATATGTAGCATATTTTTAATTTATATTGTATATAAATTAAAATCTATTCAAGATTCATTAAACTTCGAAATTGAGTTTTTCCTTGAATTTCTTAATAGTAACTTTAACTTCCTTTTTGACAGACTTTCTGCATGTCAAAAAGGAGTTTAAGGTTACCGTTAAGAAATTCGATAATTTTCAGTTATAATAGGATATAAAATTGAGTGACAAAGACATAGTTTATCATAGTTAATTATGAAATAGTCTACAATTAAAAATTAATTAATTTTAGAAAACACTGTTACTATCATAATGTTAAATGGTTGTGTATGACTCATTTGTTATGAGATGTTATTAAAAACAATGTTTTAATTATTACTTATTATAATAAGACAACAAAATTAATTTTCACTGTAGAAAAAATTTGTAAATACTGTATACATTATTTTCCAATAACAAGTAAAAATCATTAAATCTAACCCTATACATGATTTTTTATATATATCTCTTCACTCTACCGATTTCTGTACTTAAAAACTTAAGAGCATAAATTTCTTTTATATAAAAGTTTCCATACCCAATCTTCTTTCTTAATCTTCATCTCTTCCTGAGATATTAAATGAAATGAATGCCGAGAGATATGCTATTGAATATTTTATCCTTTTTTGATCTTCTGGGTTCAGGAGATTACAAGTCGTCGAGATTTGTAAATTGCCTGCATGTCAACATTTACACAATTATAATACTTTCCAGTGTTATGCTGTAACAACCAGAAAAGCAAATTTTATATTTTAGTTTTCTATTCCATTTTACTGAATAAAATCATGAATGTTTAATCTTATATATTTCTTAATCTTTACTAGTTTTTAAAATGAAATTCATTGATATTATTTATGTTGGTAGTAAAGCTGAAGTTTATTGCAATGAAATAAATATTCTACATTATATAAAATACAAAATTTGTTCTCAGAATACTTTTCACGAATATCTGCTGTTATAAAACTTTTATTCTGACCATAAATTAGTAGATAAATATTGTTTATCATAAAACTTATTAATTTGTATATTTCAAATGATGTTTGAATTCTAATCGTCTTGTGAGTAGTAACACCCCTTTTACTTCATGAAATAAGCTTACCAGCTCGAAATATGAAAAATTCAAGTCAATTATTGATAAAAAATTATAAAGTTTTCAGACTTGAAATGGTTGCTAGACACACACTATAACGCCTTTACTGCTGTGCCATTTGACTCCCAGTTTGAAACACTTGTATATTTTAGACAAAATAGAAGAATGTATTAATTAAACGATCATTAAAAATATTATAATCTCATTAAATAAACGGTCTAATTTAATAAAAATTGTATATTAAATATCAAATAGCCGTTTGTATTCATACTTTTACTATCACGTTTTATATTAATGTGTATTTTTTGTTTGTATTTAATTTATATAAAATAAATGTAAATATGCCTTATGACTTTTTTTATTACAATATGAAGATTTGTATGTATCTTTGTTGGTAAATATTAATAAAATTAAAAAATAAATGGATCCAAAACCTTCTCATTGCAGAATTTCTAAATCATTTTATTTAATTAATCAATGAAATTACAACAATTTGACAATTTTAAACAATTTTTCTTCGTTCCACAATATTCTTTGGTTATTCTGAAATAGAAAAGTATCTTCTATTAAAACTCTTATATTAAAAAAACTACTTTTTATAGTTAATCAATAATAGAGAATTGCATCAAATCATTTTAAAATGATCATTGAACGATTCAATATTCAACCTTAAACTAAACCACTTAAACATCAAACCATAATTTACATAAAGTAAAGGAGACAAATCAGTATTCAAATGAGACTAGATATTTATTCATGCTAAATAGTAATTAATTATTTAGTTTTTATTCATTTGCCAACATTGTCACCACAAAAATTAAATATGCAACATGGGAAAATGAAATTTGTGATTATCAAAACTAAACTACTAAGCATTGCATAAACTTCAATCATGAAAATTCATACATATTATTGATATAATTTATAATGTTTTATTGTAATAAGTGTTATATGGATGTTATTATGAAAACTTGTAAACTGGTAGTTTTACGTTTTTTATCCAACACTTCCTCTTGATTTAACAGGTAAATCAAAATCTAATATGAAGTGCAAGGTAGAAAAACTTGCACAGTAATACTTCGCTACATTAAAAACAAAAAAAAAACATTTAGAAAAAATTCTAAATGCATACTGATATAAGTAAAGAATACTGTTATTGCTTTATGTAGTGTTAATAAATTACCATAGTATGATAAATCTGTATAGAATAGTGTAGTACCAGTTACACAATTGCTTAATTAATACAGAAAGAAGGCAATGTGTTTGTTTGTTGTTTTCTGTTTTGTTTTTCGATTGTATTTATTTTGCTGTGTCACATTATTTTTGAAGTGTATTTGTTGCTGAATATCGTCATAGCCCATTTCCTTGTTATGTCCGATGTACTAAACGTAATCCAAGCCATCAACAGTGACAAATCAGAACAGACAGACAATGTCGACAAAGATAACGAACACATTTTTATTAATTTTTCATTAATTAATAATAATTTTATTACAAAATAATTAATATCGAAGCCCCATAGATACAATTACATTAATTTATTTGTGAAAAATAAGTACTAGTATATTCGATTCGTACTAGAAGTATAAAACTTTATAAGATAATAACAAATTTTGCATTTTTAATTATGAGATGAGTAAACAAGTGTTTAACAAAAATATTATATAAATAAGCTGACATTTCATAAGCCGAGATTTCTTGTAATGTTATATTCTATTTGTTTTTTATAGACTAATCCAGCATTTAAAAAAAAAATATCGGCGATATAAATAATTTTTATGGTTATATAAGCAAATGTAGGTCTTTCTAATCTACAAGTAAAAAGAAAGTAACTGTGGAAATTTTGACTGTGGAAAGCTGTAACGCTATTTTCTCTCCCATAGGCCATCACTGTCAGAACGACAGGACTTTGTTTTCGAAATATCCTACATCCTCAGTGTATTACCCCATGCGATTTCTTACTTTGTTGGTGTGTAATAGATAGGGTTTATGTGCCACTAATATATTTGAACATACCAGACTTGAGACATTAGATTGTTGAGGATGTTTACTTTATTAAACATGGCATGGTGACCAGAATGTGAAAATAACTAGACTACTGTTTATATGTGTGCTGTGTAACGAAAGGTTTCCATATTTAGTACTTGTGATATGTGTTTTTACATAAACTATTTTATTTGCAGTCAGGATTTAATATGGAAAGTAATTTTTTACGTATCTCATTTGTTATGAGATGTTATTAAAAACAATGTTTTAATTATTACTTATTATAATAAGACAACAAAATTAATTTTCACTGTANTAATTTCTATAACACAATATATCAGATCAAAGTGTAAATCAAAACTTAATCTTACTTTTCTAATAGTCTTTTGAAGCTGACTGTAATTAAAAAATGCGCTGAATTATATAGTAATAATAATTTTTATTAACTATTATAATTATTCTGACAACCACTTCAAAGAGGTGTATTGACAATTAAGCAAACTTGTAATGATTTTCCAATTTCAACTTGTACGTAAAGCCAAGAATTACTCAGAGAAGATTAACAAATTCTTGTATCTACTGTTTTAAATATTTTGGCAGAATTTCTTGACAAGTTTCTGTAAGTATTTTTTGGCAGATTGTTGTAATTCGGAAGACATTGCGATTTTCCTAAATTGTCAATAAGCTCTTTAAAAGCAGAAGGAAAAATATTCGATAAAATCTATCACATATTGTTAATTTTTAACTTAGTCTTATAAAAATTATTATAATGTGAAATTTTGAAAAGATTTTATTATTAATAATTGTAAAAAGTAATCATATATTTTACAAATTCGAAGGCATTTTAGCCACAGAAATCAAAAGGAAAAAGTGAAAAATAAAGGAAGTTTACTTCCTTCAAAAATAGTTATTCATCCGATGACTACGTTACGTGTTTAGTAAGAATTAGATCATTGTCAGATGACAACATATCCAAATCTCCATTGGAAAAGAAGTGGAATATAAATAAGGGATACGCGTCAAACTCTGTGCACAGCACATCATCCCGTATTCTCTAGTCTTTAACTTAGTGACATACTTTATAGATTAAACTTCTGCCCAAAAGACAGGAAGGATACAAGTCAATAATAATATGGAGGTATTACAATCAGTACTTTTGTAAATTCTCTATCTCAACCTTCAGAGACATAGTTTAAGGTTTAATCATGGCTAGATGCTGGTGTCAATGCTTACGTTGTTTACCGCTCATAGGTTAGCCATTCTTTAGCGTAGAGATCGGATCTCACAGATCTTGTGCAGTTAAGTGGTCATTAGGATTCACCCTCGACCTCCTGCTTATCTCACTATAATATTTTAAATTTTACAAAGTGTATTACTGAGGAAATTACGTAACTTTATTTACAGGAAAAAATAGGTCAAAAGTAAAAGAACTATATTGTTTTAGTATATTTATCAAGTCCGAAAACTAAAGATAAAAATATTTTATAAATTTCCTTTTTTTATCAAGTAATTCATTTCAGAGGATATATCAGTGAATTATGGTTTAATCGAAGAAAGTGATAAAAATTAATTACAGCCGTATTATTTACGAAAAATTAACGAAACTTTACAGAGATAAACAACGGTTCTTACACTTATTGAAAATATAAAATTTTATATGATATAGGGGAGACCGGGGCAAGATCGGCATGTTAAGTTTTACTGAAATTTTGTGTAATAAATACTGCAGTAAACTGAAAAAAAAGCTTTGCATATTGTCTATTGGAATGTTACCTTACTATAGAACTGGTTAAAATCAGTTTGGAAATAAAAATAATTAAAATAATTACAACTTTACAAGAAGAGAGAAATTGACGAAGTTGCCCCGGGTATAGGGGCAAGATCGGCAACTTCTCTCTTTTTGTAAAGTTGTAATTATTTTAATTA